TAACTACAATTCGAAAGCGAAAATATATTAGAAATAAATAATATAAGGGAACTCGGACATCGAAAGGCTTCACTATACAATAGGAGAAAAATTTAGAATCATGGAATTAGAATCTCCGAATTTATCAACAAGAGAGAAAATGTACAAATGTATTCAAACCTGCAACAATAACATTCATTCGACACTGAAAGAAAAACCTTCAGTCGTAGCGTTAGGTAAAATTGACAAAAAGACAACTCATGATAGAATAAAAGAGGTGAAAGAGAACATTTTTAGCATGATAAATACTAAAAGACAGGTTTATAATGATGAAAGAAGCACAGGACACGTAAAAAATTATAAAGCACTTAGACACAAGCGCGAACCTAGATATAGAAAGCTACCACTTCAAAACACCCATGCAAGTAACATTAACTTCAGATTGATGTTATAATTTCTGGAACATGTTAATCAATAAATACACAACAAGATCTTCCAGATGCCATTTTTCCACTTTTTGCTCCTTAAATAAAAACCCACTTTTGAACGTCCTCTCACAACAAACTTCTTTTAACAACTAAATAGCAATCGTTGCGAATTTAAAATTTGAAGCTTTTCGCTTTCAATAATAGCTTTAGTTTCTAATTGGAAAACTTGAGATCCACAAACAGACATTTTTTTTCAAACATATGTTCCGTGTTACCACATGGTAACGTCAGTCCCTCCTGGGTTAAGATACCACAATTTACTCTTAGTTACTAATTTTGAGGATATATACACCTTTTGTCATATTTTTTGGTGTTTTAATGAGCGTGTTACCATATGGTCACGTCAGGAATTACAGGCTACAGGTTTAAAGATGAATTTCAAAACACGTGTGCTCCTAATTCGCTGCTTATTTCAGGAAAATGTTTGATTAATTCGCCATTTTGTTGCAGAAAATTCACATTAAAAGACATTGCAGACTATTTGGATGAGTTAGCTGAAAATGATGCATCATTTTGCCAACAAATAGACGGAATTTATATTGAGCCACCTAATGAAGATGGGGAACTAACTGGTGAAGATGATGCAAACGAAGATGAGGGTGGAATTATTGACAATGTATGTCGAAATCAATTAAACGAAGGATGTGAGATTGTGCTAAAGAATGGTGAGCACGTGGACTCTGCGTCAATGGTGAACTCATGTGACGTTGAGGGAAACATTGAAGCAGCACTAGCGGATCTTCTAGGTGATGAATCCCATAGTGTAGAACAGCAGCTTTACGAATATGTGAAATCAATATGCCCACAGACCGTAAGCGCGAAAACTACCAAGGAGAGTACACAAGGCAACAAACAAGAGTCATCTGATGAAAATATTCCCAACACTTCTGTATCCAGCAGGCTAAGAAGGGTAGAAGGTATTCCGTCTAAAGAACCTCTTCCGTTAGCAAATAAAAACACAGTGTTTAACTGGTCGAAGGAGTGTAGAAGTGATCCAATGCCTTTATTTCCGGAAGCAAACTACAATGATTGCCGTGGTCTGCAGCCTCACGAGTTGTTTGAATTTTTTTTT